GGAACCGTAAATACGGAACCATTAATACGTCCGCGCAGCCAAGGCACCGTTGCACGAACAAATATCAATTGGGGTGGAACATATTGTCGAAGGTGACCACGATCGATACCTGGCATGACCATGTCATTCCATAGAACGTTTCGGCCACAGCAGCGCCACGGAGCCCCAGGAAAAGTGAAAAATCGAAAAAGAAACGGTAAAAGACATTAATTGACTGTTCCGGGCGGCCCAAGTTCGCTGGCAAGCCCAAGCGACCTGCACAAGAGTCGCACGGCCCACCAAAGGTCACCATAATCGGATCATGCAAGCCCACACCACGTTTGCCCCGGCAGCGCCATACCGTACTGCTAAGTAAGGAAAAAACTAGTTCTTTTCGGCCGAGAAATTCCCCCCACGCTACCCCCCGCCACCGGATATGCATTTCAAATTCGCAAGCCCTCATGTTGTGCAAGCAGGTATATTTATAGGTGCTATTTTTATAGGTGTATCGGTGCTAAAAAACTTTATCGGAAAAAAATGTCCCCGAGAAAATGTTTTTTCAGACAATCGATATTCGAGATGTCATCTGTTGCACAAATTATGCTGCACTGTGTAAGAACTTGCATCGTTTGATCTGAAGATTGTAGATGGAAAAGTATCATTTGCACTATTTCAAAGTAAACCTGCATTTTCGTATATCATCCCGTAATTTGTGATTAATGACAATGACTGTGGAAATAATATGAGTTGAGGAACGGAGGATCTATGTTCGTCACGTGACTGGACACTTCCACCCCCGTCCCCCGTCCCAACCTGACGATGATCCCTCCCGGAGCGGCGCGGCGCGCTATCTAAAAAAATCTCGGGCACAGTTTACTCTTCTAAGTTTTCCGGTAGCTATTTAGTAACCCAGAGTTTGGTCCTCGTGTGTGGTTTTGGACCAGGTGAGCGCTGATGAAATAAGTTCATTAACACACAAGCGAGCGATCGCCTACGGTCAAAGAAAAATTTCTTTTCAGATTTTTTTTAACAATTTCTTCTCCCAAATTTCTCTCAAAAAAATTTTTTTTTCCAGTATTTTTCTCTGTAAAATTATTTTCTACGGAATGTTTTTTTGTAAAACCAATTTTTCGGAAAAATTTTATTTTTTGGGAGGGACAGAAAATTTTTTTCGTCAAAAAAATTTGGGAGAAAAAAAATTGGATTTTTTTTTTTTTTTTTGTGGGGGGGGGGGGGCTATTTGTAAAACGAACATGACCTTGACCTTCCTTCATCGGCGCTCACTTGGTCCAAAACCGCACACAGAGGACCAGTCTCCGGGTTACCTATTTAAGGTGTTTTCCGGTATTTAGGATGTTTTCCGGTATTTAGTGTTTTTCCGGTGTTTTCCGGTATTCAGTATAAAATGGTGTTTTCCGGTTGTTTTCCGGTGTTTTTCTGTGTTTTCCGGTATATAGTATGGCCCTAAAAATGTCGTGTTGTCGTGGTGTAAGGATGTCGTGATGTCATGTATTGTCGGGTTATCGGCCATATTCCTCTCAATACTATGACTATATACTGTGATCCTGGTGTCGGTCAAGAAAGTTCACCGAGATTTTGCAGCGTGGTTTCTCCTTGTCGATAGTGCAGGAAAAGGGGGTCTGGCAAAGTAGTGTCTAGTTGTGTAGGTGGGACAAAAACAAGCTCTTGTGTACACATTAGCGTGCGCATAAAAGAATCATTCACAGTTGAATTTCGATGAAGAAATGCCATGGTCCATTGAAAATTTCCGTCATAGCACGGAATATCTCTGAATTTTATCAATTGTGGTGGAAAATATTGTCGAAGGTGACCTCGATCGATCCCTGCCATGACCATGTCATTCCATACAACGTTTCGGCCACAGCAGCGCCACGGAGCCCAAGGAAAAGTGAAAAATCGAAAACGAAACGGTAAAAGACGAAAACTGACCGTTTCGGACGGCCCAAGTTCGCTGGCAAGCCCAAGCGACCCGCACAAGAGTCGCACGACCCGCCAAAAGGATCGGATTATGCAAGCCCACACCACGTTTGCCCCGGCTGCGCCATACCGTACCGCTAAATAAGGAAAAAACTTTTTCTTTTCGGCCGAGAAATCGCCACCGGATATGCATGGAAAATTCGAAGGCCCTCATATTGTGCAAGCAGGTGGTAGTATTTTTATAGGTGTATCGGTGCTGAAGAGGTACTGAAAATTTTATCGGAGCGGAAAAGGAAACAAAGTCCCGGTACGGCACGAAATTGTTCCCAGATCTCAGCTTGTTTCAGTCTTCGGCCCCAAAACGAGCTGTTTGGCCATGTTCTGGGAACGATATCTCCTAAATGAATATTTACACAGTTTTGAGTGTTATACAGGCTAATAGCTGCAGATCCGGCGATTGCAAAGAGACATCGCACGAGGGCCTCTGAAAAAGGTTTTGGCCACAGCAGCGTCAGAGCTCTCAAGCAAAAGAACGGTTTTCGAGCGCCAAGCCGAGCTGTTTGGCCATGTTCCGGGGACAATATCTCCTAAATGAATATTCACACAGTCTTGAGGGTTATACTGTCTAATAGCTGCAGATCTGGCGATTTCAAAGAGACGTCGCACGGGATACTACGAAGGACACAGCCGCTTCAACTCCTGTGCAAATTTGCTTGCGATCGGCTAACACGGAACCGTAAATACGGAACCATAAATACGTCCGCGCAGCCAAGGCACCGTTGCACGAACAAATATCAATTGGGGTGGAACATATTGTCGAAGGTGACCACGATCGATACCTGGCATGACCATGTCATTCCATGGAACACATTCCATAGAACGTTTCGGCCACAGCAGCGCCACGGAGCCCCAGGAAAAGTGAAAAATCGAAAAAGAAACGGTAAAAGACATTAATTGACTGTTCCGGGCGGCCCAAGTTCGCTGGCAAGCCCAAGCGACCTGCACAAGAGTCGCAAGCGGCGCGACGACGGTGACGAGAAGGGTAACCGGGAGCTGCACGAACACACACTCCCTAGCCTTCACTCAACCGCCGTGTACGCAACCGAGAGCAAGAGGAGACCGGCCAACCTTCCACCGCGAATCGCTCGTCTCAAGAAACTCGCCCCGACCACTTCTCCGCCAAAGTTCCCTACTGCCCCGCCGAGGACCGGCTGAGCTTCACCCTCCATGTAAGAGAAAACGCACTCGTTGGAAAGGTATACACATGCACCGCACCAGGTCTCGTCTCTCTCACCTACCTCCTATACTAGTGTTTCGCACTCGTTTGAAAGGTATACCGTCGTGCAAGAGTAGGTTTCGACTGGATTTTTTCGGCTCCCAGGGGCTTGCCGCCCTTCCAAATTCGTCTCTTGGCGTCCCTTCTGGCCAGGGACCCTCGCTGCAACAACTTTGGTCGGGATCCGTCAGCGCGTCGCCCCGCCAGCGGCGGGCGAAGGTCCGGCGGGAAAAGCTCGAGAGCGCCGTTCGGCCGCCAAGCCGCGCCTCGGCCGACCCGAGCAATTCCGGCCGAGACGGGAAAAGCTCGTCAGCCAGCTTCGGCCGCCAATCCGCGCCTCGGCCGGCCCGAGCAATTCCAGCCCGACCCGACCCGACCCGACCCGACCCGACCCGACCCGACCCGACCCGACCCGACCGCCTCTCGGCCGCATCTCTCTCAAAGCCTCGAGACGGGCACTCTTGGACCGCGCCAGCCCAGCGGGTCTCGAGACGGCCAGACCAGGCGGCGGGAGGAAAAAGCTCGACAGCCAGCTTCGGCCGCCAATCCACGCCTCGGCCGGCCCGAGCAATTCCAGCCCAGCCCGACCCGACCGCCTCTCGGCCGCATCTCTCTCAAAGCCTCGAGACGGGCACTCTTGGACCGCGCCAGCCCAGCGGGTCTCGAGACGGCCACTCGTCGGTCGCAGGGCTAGCTCGCGGCCGAGAGAGAAGCCGACCAGACCAGACCAGACCAGACCAGACCAGACCAGGCGGCGGGAGGAAAGAGCTCGACAGCCAGCCAGCTTCGGCCGCCAATCCAATCCACGCCTCGGCCGGCCCGAGCAATTCCAGCCCGACCGCCTCTCGGCCGCATCGCTCTCCCAAAGCCTCGAGACGGGCACTCGGACCAGGCGGCGGGAGGGAAAAGCTCGACAGCCAGCTTCGGCCACCAATCCACGCCTCGGTCGGCCCGAGCAATTCCAGCCCGACCGCCTCTCATCGGCCGTCTAGAGGAATTATTCCGGCCCGACCGCCTCTCGGCCGCATCTCTCTCCCAAAGCCTCGAGACGGGCACTCGGCCGAGAGGTTCATCGGCCGTCTAGAGGAATTATTCCGGCCCGACCGCCTCTCGGCCGCATCTCTCTCCCAAAGCCTCGAGACGGGCACTCGGCCGAGAGGTTCATCGGCCGTCTAGAGGAATTATTCCAGCCCGACCGCCTCTTCCCCGCATCTCTCTCTCTCCCAAAGCCTCGAGACGGGCACTCGGCCGTCTAGAGGAATTATTCCAGCCCGACCGCCTCTCGGCCGCATCTCTCTCCCAAAGCCTCGAGACGGGCACTCGGCCGTCTAGACGTATTATTCCAGCCCGACCGCCTCTTCCCCGCATATCTCTCTCCCAAAGCCTCGAGACGGGCACTCGGCCGTCTAGAGGAATTATTCCAGCCCGACCGCCTCTCGGCCGCATCTCTCTCTCCCAAAGCCTCGAGACGGGCACTCGGCCGTCTAGAGGAATTATTCCAGCCCGACCGCCTCTTCCCCGCATCTCTCTCTCTCCCAAAGCCTCGAGACGGGCACTCGGCCGTCTAGAGGAATTATTCCAGCCCGACCGCCTCTCGGCCGCATCTCTCTCTCTCTCTCTCTCTCTCAGATTTCGGTTGCCAAGTCCCACCACCCACGGTAACACACCGATTGCGTGTAGGCACGGGCAATATTAAATTAAATCAAAATATTAAAGCCAACATCCAATCTCCTCTCTACCTCTAGAGAGGAGCAGCAGGCAGAAGAAGAGTAGTGAAAAAAGAGAGAGCTCTGTCCGTCTGAAGCGGACAAATCTCCTAGTCGAGGGACAAGTCTCAACGCATCGCAGCCACAACAGGCCGCTCTACCGAGTACGACACCCCGACTCGCACAAACCCAAGTCGTCTGCAAGCAGATTTACCTGCCTTCGAAAGACACCTGCCGAAACACACAGGTCGGACACACACCACCCCGTTCGCCCGCGAAGGCGAAGTAGGGCCTAATCGTTCTGTCGCCGGTCTCAGAGAGGCAGACGCGGACGTCGTGGGACGGGATTCCGGCTTAGAGGCGTTCAGCCGTAAGCCCCAGGACAAAGGCAAAGCCCCAATGGCAATAAACCACCAAGCACCAACGCTTTCAATCCCGGACCAACGTTCCTCTCGTACTAGTCAGTCCTACCCGCTCGTAACCGCTCATTCGTAAAGAGTTCCCTACCAGTAGGGTAAAACTAACCTGTCTCACGACGGTCTAAACCCAGCTCACGTTCCCTGTTGGTGGGTGAACAATCCAACGCTTGGCGAATTCTGCTTCGCAATGATAGGAAGAGCCGACATCGAAGGATCAAAAAGCAACGTCGCTAAGAACGCTTGGCTGCCACAAGCCAGTTATCCCTGTGGTAACTTTTCTGACACCTCTTGCGGGAAGCAGTAAAGAATAGAGCTCTCCCATCGTCGCCCTAAGGGCGACACAAAAGGATCGATAGGCCTTGCTTTCACACGGATCCCTCCTACTGAAAAGCATCCTCAAGCCAGCATTTGCCCTTTCGCTCTACCAAGGGTTTCTCCCCCTTCTGAAGCTGGCCTTGGGGCGCCCGCGCTAGACTTTCGCGGGCACACCGCCCCAGTTAAATTCAGAACTGACTCTGTCCTCGATCGCCCTCGCGAGGGACCTGGTCCCGCAAGACGAACAGCCGGTTGCCCGACCGCCCGCCTTTAGCGCGGGGGACCCCTCGCTTAGCACCTTGCGCTCGCCGACACCGCCCCGAATGCGGCCGCTCTCGTGGTCCTCATCGAGTGAGTTGAACGAGGAACGCAGTAGTGGTCTTTCACTTGCGCCGTAAAGCAGTCCCACCTAGGCTACACCTGCGCTCTCGCCCAACCAAGCCAATCGCGAATCAAGCTCAACAGGGTCTTCTTTCCCCGCTGACAGCCCCGGACCCGTTCCTCCGGCTGTGGCTTCGCTAGATAGTAGATAGGGACAGTGGGAATCTCGTTAATCCATTCATGCGCGTCACTAATTACATGACGAGGCATTTGGCTACCTTAAGAGAGTCATAGTTACTCCCGCCGTTTACCCGCGCTTCCGTAAATTTCTTCACCGTGACATTCAGAGCACTGGGCAGAAATCACGTCCCGTCAACACCGATCTCCGGCCTTCGAGACGCTATGTTTTTACTAAACAGTCGGATTCCCCCGGACCGTGCCAGTTCTGATCGAGCCGTTCCTCGCGCCCGTGCCGAAAACGGGGAGAGTCGCCCCTACCCCGCTCCGTCCGCCTGCCCTTCCGAGGGTAGAACGTTCGCCGTTCGGTGCGCCCAAGTCCAAATTAATATGCCACCTGGCGGACTCCCGCTCTAGGATTCCCTCTTCCGAAGCTAGCAGCGGGTCGCTCGGCCCTCAGAGCCAATCCTTCTCCCGAAGTTACGGATCCATTTTGCCGACTTCCCTTACCTACATTGTTCTATCGACCAGAGGCTGCGAACCTTGGAGACCTGCGGCGGATTGAGGTACGGCCCGAGGCGAGAGCGTGTGATAGATTTCAAAGAAATGTTTAGCCGTCGGAGTTTCAAGGACCGTCGAGTCGTAGCCGAACAGGCCCCCGCTGGAGCCGGCTTTGCGGATAAAGTTGATTGCTCTCGCTCCCTATCTCCGGCAGAACCGCTTCCAGGGTCAGCGAGCGCACCTCAAAAAGAAAAGTTAACTCTTCTCGACTCTCCCGACGGCGTATCCGACCTTCTTTGCGTCACCGCTTGTGCTCCGCCTTCGGGTACGGGAATCCTAACCCGTTTCCCTTTCGGCCCGTGCATTGGGTGAGACTTTTTCTGTGATAAAAAAACGTCCCGCTTCCCGTAGGATTTCTCCCAGGCCTTAGGACCGACTAACCCGCGGCCGATCGAAGGAGCAACGCGGAACCCTTCTCCACTTCGGCCTTCGAGGTTCTCGCTCGAATATTTGCTACTACCACCAAGATCGGCACCCGCGGCCGCTACACCCAGACTCGCGTCTAAGGCTTCAGCGCTGACCGCGGCGACCCTCCTACTCGTCTCGGCTTCGGTCAGTCCCCGCGGCAGGCCGCGAGGAATTGCCGAGACGGCCGGGTGTAGGCTGCACGCTACAGCGCCATCCATTTTCAGGGCCCACCAATTCGGCAGGTGAGTTGTTACACACTCCTTGGCGGGTACCGACTTCCATGGTCACCGTCCTGCTGTCTTTACCGATGGACGCCTTTTGTGGGTTCTGCTGAGCGTGACGATCGGGCGCCTTAACCCGGCGTTTGGTTCATCCCACAGCGCCAGTTCTGCTTACCAAAAGTGGCCCACTTGGCACTCGTACATTTCGACGGGGGCCGAGCCTCCCAGATCGAGCGGTAGGCACCCCTTCTCGCCCGTTCAAAGTTTGACAATAGCTCCACGCCATTTCGGCACGGACTCCTCTAATCATTCGCTTTACCGGACGAAACTGTCTCGGCGAGCGCCAGCTATCCTGGGGGAAACTTCGGAGGGAACCAGCTACTAGATGGTTCGATTAGTCTTTCGCCCCTACGCCCAAGTTCCGTGATCGATTTGCGCGTCAGAACCACTTAGGACCTCCACCAGCATTTCTCCCGGCTTCGTCCCGCTCGGGCCTAGTTCACCATCTTTCGGGTCCCAACGCGAGCGCTCTTGCTCCGCCGAGGCCGTAACAACCCCCGACGGGCCGGTCCTGCGCCCCCCTCGCCCGAGAGAGGATCGGACCACGTCGCTTTCGCTGCGCCCCAAGGGAGTGTTTTTCCCTGTGACTCGCGCTCACGTTAGACTCCTTGGTCCGTGTTTCAAGACGGGTCGGGAAGAGTGCCGCCACGGCCAGCCGCGGACCCTCTAGACCGTCCCCCAATGCCCGCCGCCCCACCGACGCCGACCGAGCGACCGCACTTGCACTGTTAAGCCCACGAGGGGCAGTCAAGACGGCCGCGACGACGCCGGGAGACTAGGTCGGGAGCGAGGACGGGGCCGTTCCTCGGCCCGGAGCTACGTTCGCCCTAGAGCCGACCGGAGCAGGCAGTCCGAAGACAGGTGCGACGCCCCGAGGGACGCGCCCCTCGCCTGACTCCAGCCGAGACGAAGCACTCCGAGCCGGTCGCGACTCGCGACACAGCGGAAGATACGCCGACGGGGACGAACCCTCTCGCACGACCGAGCCCGTCCTCCGAAAAGAACAAGTCCCGGCCGCGCGAGGAGCCGCCTACCCGGCGAGCTGGATTCCGCTGATCGCACCGGCGGTTCCACCCGTTTGCCCGTAGGCGCTTTCACGGTCTCTTGAACTCTCTCTTCAAAGTTCTTTTCAACTTTCCCTCACGGTACTTGTTCGCTATCGGACTCGTGCAAGTATTTAGCCTTAGATGGAGCTTACCACCCGCTTTGAGCTGCGATCCCAAGCAACTCGACTCGCAGGTACCGACTGCGCCGGGCAGAAGACCCAGACCGAACTAAAGGCCTCACACCCACTCTGGGAGCACACCTGTCCCGCGGGACTTGTTCGGACGGTCAGACGCCTGACGAGTCGGACCCTTACGCCACAATTCCCGAACCGCCGAGGTCCGACGGGGGATTCGGCGATGGGCTCTTCCCGCTTCGCTCGCCGCTACTGAGGGAATCCCGGTTGGTTTCTTTTCCTCCGCTTAGTGATATGCTTAAGTTCAGCGGGTAATCTCGCTCGATCCGAGGCCGGTGAGAAAAGGTGACGGAGGGGAGAGAGATGCGGAGAGTACGTGCGCCCGGAAGGACGCCCGCGCCACTGCACCCCGAACCCGTTCTGTGAGCCACCCGAGAGGGTTAATCCCAGGCGAGAACGGAACGCCGGAGTGACACTGGGCGGGGCGCTCGAGAGCCTCCCTCCCGTGCTCCTCCCGCACTCCGCTCCGTCGATTGTCAGGTCTGCCTTTGAGGAGACGGGGCCTCGCGGCCGCGACTCCCAGTCTTGGGGATTCTTACCTGCCGGCCCTCGGACGAACGTGGCCGCGGGAGGACCCGCTGCCGCCATGTGCGTTCGAGACGTCGATGATCTTCACTGCAATTCACATCACTTAACGCGTCAGGCCGCGCTCTTCATCGACGCACGAGCCGAGTGATCCAACGCCTACGGTCGTACGCTTTTGCTTTCATTAAGTCTGACGGCCGCCGAAAACGACGGCCCGTGTCAAAGTGTTTCCATCATAGTGTGAAAAAAAATCAAGACCGATCGAGAAGATCGCCGGCGGTCTCGGTGCTGACGACCGAGACTCTTTGAACGTGCCCGGCTCGCTCTCGTCTCTCTCTCTCTCTGTCTCTCCCGCCGCCGAGCCGCGGAGGGAGGAAGAGGGAGAGGGAAGGAAAGGAGGGGTCGTGAAACACGTACCGACAAAGAGAGAGAAGCCACAACCGAGGCCGTGCGCAGCAGTGGAGTGCCGCGGCACGCCTCGCCACAGACTGGTTGGCTCGGGACGAGCCTCCTAGCGTCTGACCGACCGTGAAACGGTAAAGTTTCGAGGGGGTTTGGTTTCTTCGTCCGCAAAGAGAGCGAAGAGGTATACGGTAATGATCCTTCCGCAGGTTCACCTACGGAAACCTTGTTACGACTTTTACTTCCTCTAA